ACCGTTCATATTCTGCCGGACCCAATTTACGTAGCAAAACTCGCACCTTCCAGGCATCGTCTTGTGAGGCGAGATCAACAGTGAATAAATCCTCATAACGTTGATACCATGTGTCAAAAGTGACATTAGCCTCTGGGTCATAATTGAACTGTGAAATACTGTTCACAATTCCGTCGACAGATGGTAGCATGGTATGATTGGGATTGCTTGAAGGTGGAGCTGGACCAGTCTGTTGGTTGACGAACATTTCCATTAATTTCATTTGTCGTTCAAACAATAATTCCAATTTAATAGGATCCATAGTAAATTGTTATGTTGTTGCTGCTGTGTGGTTAATAGTAGTTTTCCCCGTCGCCAAATTGTTATGTTCTAGTTTCCCCGTCGCTAGTTTCCCCGTCGACAAATTGTTATGTACTCGTCGCTAGGTTATTGTTATGGACTGGTCGAGAAACTAATAGTCCTGACGCGAGAAGGCGGAAATCAGAAGACCACTAGGTTTGCGATGATACTTCTATTGTCCAAACACAAGGAGACGAAAATAAATGGTCTCACACCAAAGTGGTAAGTAAGTAAAGTAGTTGTAAAGTAAAGTAGTTCACACAAATTGTGAATGCGAATATATATAAATAATTCAGACAAGCGTGGGAAAAATCATTAGACAGTCTTAACATGAATGGCTAATTATAATGGAGTGTCGATCCAATTATACATAGCGAATATAGCAGACATGCCAACAAACATATATGGATATATGTCACCAAGCAACGGACTGTCAACAAACACTCATATTATATATAATATAATATAAGGAGAATATACATTATTAAAGGAGACAAGTTCATACAAGTGAAGTGGTCACAGACTAACCGAGCAAACAGAAAGAGAGACCAACATGCACACACACACATAAATATATATATGTGGATACATATCACCTCCCCTTTTGAGAAGATGGATGATTAGTAGGATGTTTACCTGGGGGTTTATCTGGGACCTTTGGGCTTGTTGTTGACGCCTGTCGTTTCGTCTGATTGTTGGGTTTGCGGCTTCGGCTCCGTCCGGAATTGTCTAACATTTTATGCTTCTTGGCTGCATTGCATAGCGAATTTAGTGGGACATCAGCCAGATGCAAACGATCGAACCAATCAAGTCCCAAAACATTTAAATCATTCTTTGTGACGTAACAAATTCCTGTGAATTTGGTATTGCGGAAGGAAACAGAACATTTGAGTTCACCAATTAGTTTGAGCTGCCCACCACAGGCGCTGACAAGAGACTGGGAAGTATTGGTGATAGGTGGTCTGCCTATATAATTCCAAAGTTTCTCTGATATAACAGTAGTATCAGAGGCGGTATCTAACTGCAGACGTGCATCATGACCATTCATCTGAAGATCAAGATATTTTCGCATAGCTGGTGTTGTGACTTGACGGGTTGCGCGTAGACTCAATGACTTTTTGGGGGATTCAGGACCAACAGTTTGTCGAGCTTTCGCTGGATTTCGACATCTGGGTTTGCGTGGCTGACAAAAACCATTTTTGTGACCGATGATCTTGCACTTGCTGCAACGATGATTTTTGTATGGACAAGACTTTACAAAGTGCCACGCGCCACAGTGCCAGCATGGTGATGGAGGGGTCTTCTTTGTCGTATTTTGTGAAGTTGGACGAGTATCTGTAGATTTCCGCGGAACATTAGAAGAAGGTGGGTCAGGAGTAGATGATGAGAGATTTTTGCTCTTTCGTAATGCACGAATATCAGAGCTTCTCGGAGGTGTTGATTCGACCAGGTGTGTGTCTTTCTGCAGATTAATCAGCCGTTGATATTCATCAGCTATGTCATGTAATGTTAACTTGGGATTTTGTTCTAGCTGATTGAGCAGTCGAGTTCGGATATCTGTGAAACGAGGAGATTGGAGACTGCATATGAGAATCAAGGCTTTGAACTGATCATCTGTTAAGGACCTGAGTCGAAATCTCTCACATTCTCGGTTGACTGTGCCAACGTGAGTAAGAAAATCATCATTTTCATTCATTGCCAGCTTGAGGCAACAATAACGTATACTGAATAATGAGGAGTGGTCTCCGAAATGTTCACGCAGCAACTTTATTGTATCATCGAAACAATTGTCACGTGGTTTCTGTGGTAAAATTAGGTTGTAGTACCGTTCATATTCTGCCGGACCCAATTTACGTAGCAAAACTCGCACCTTCCAGGCATCGTCTTGTGAGGCGAGATCAACAGTGAATAAATCCTCATAACGTTGATACCATGTGTCAAAAGTGACATTAGCCTCTGGGTCATAATTGAACTGTGAAATACTGTTCACAATTCCGTCGACAGATGGTAGCATGGTATGATTGGTATTGCTTGAAGGTGGAGCTGGACCAGTCTGTTGGTTGACGAACATTTCCATTAATTTCATTTGTCGTTCAAACAATAATTCCAATTTAATAGGATCCATAGTAAATTGTTATGTTGTTGCTGCTGTGTGGTTAATAGTAGTTTTCCCCGTCGCCAAATTGTTATGTTCTAGTTTCCCCGTCGCATTATTTCCCCGTCGACAAATTGTTATGTACTCGTCGCTAGGTTATTGTTATGGACTGGTCGAGAAACTAATAGTCCTGACGCGAGAAGGCGGAAATCAGAAGACCACTAGGTTTGCGATGATACTTCTATTGTCCAAACACAAGGAGACGAAAATAAATGGTCTCACACCAAAGTGGTAAGTAAGTAAAGTAGTTGTAAAGTAAAGTAGTTCACACAAATTGTGAATGCGAATATATATAAATAATTCAGACAAGCGTGGGAAAAATCATTAGACAGTCTTAACATGAATGGCTAATTATAATGGAGTGTCGATCCAATTATACATAGCGAATATAGCAGACATGTCAACAAACATATATGGATATATGTCACTAAGCAACGGACTGTCAACAAACACTCATATTATATATAATATAATATAAGGAGAATATACATTGATAAAGGAGACAAGTTCATACAAGTGAAGTGGTCACAGACTAACCGAGCAAACAGAAAGAGAAACCAACATGCACACACACACATAAATATATATATGTGGATACATATCACCTCCCCTTTTGAGAAAATGGATGATTAGTAGGATGTTTACCTGGGGGTTTATCTGGGACCTTTGGGCTTGTTGTTGACGCCTGTCGTTTCGTCTGATTGTTGGGTTTGCGGCTTCGGCTCCGTCCGGAATTGTCTAACATTTTATGCTTCTTGGCTGCATTGCATAGCGAATTTAGTGGGACATCAGCCAGATGCAAACGATCGAACCAATCAAGTCCCAAAACATTTAAATCATTCTTTGTGACGTTACAAATTCCTGTGAATTTGGTATTGCGGAAGGAAACAGAACATTTGAGTTCACCAATTAGTTTGAGCTGCCCACCACAGGCGCTGACAAGAGACTGGGAAGTATTGGTGATAGGTGGTCTGCCTATATAATTCCAAAGTTTCTCTGATATAACAGTAGTATCAGAGGCGGTATCTAACTGCAGACGTGCATCATGACCATTCATCTGAAGATCAAGATATTTTCGCATAGCTGGTGTTGTGACTTGACGGGTTGCGCGTAGACTCAATGACTTTTTGGGGGATTCAGGACCAACAGTTTGTCGAGCTTTCGCTGGATTTCGACATCTGGGTTTGCGTGGCTGACAAAAACCATTTTTGTGACCGATGATCTTGCACTTGCTGCAACGATGATTTTTGTATGGACAAGACTTTACAAAGTGCCACGCGCCACAGTGCCAGCATGGTGATGGAGGGGTCTTCTTTGTCGTATTTTGTGAAGTTGGACGAGTATCTGTAGATTTCCGCGGAACATTAGAAGAAGGTGGGTCAGGAGTAGATGATGAGAGATTTTTGCTCTTTCGTAATGCACGAATATCAGAGCTTCTCGGAGGTGTTGATTCGACCAGGTGTGTGTCTTTCTGCAGATTAATCAGCCGTTGATATTCATCAGCTATGTCATGTAATGTTAACTTGGGATTTTGTTCTAGCTGATTGAGCAGTCGAGTTCGGATATCTGTGAAACGAGGAGATTGGAGACTGCATATGAGAATCAAGGCTTTGAACTGATCATCTGTTAAGGACCTGAGTCGAAATCTCTCACATTCTCGGTTGACTGTGCCAACGTGAGTAAGAAAATCATCATTTTCATTCATTGCCAGCTTGAGGCAACGATAACGTATACTGAATAATGAGGAGTGGTCTCCGAAATGTTCACGCAGCAACTTTATTGTATCATCGAAACAATTGTCACGTGGTTTCTGTGGTAAAATTAGGTTGCAGTACCGTTCATATTCTGCCGGACCCAATTTACGTAGCAAAACTCGCACCTTCCAGGCATCGTCTTGTGAGGCGAGATCAACAGTGAATAAATCCTCATAACGTTGATACCATGTGTCAAAAGTGACATTAGCCTCTGGGTCATAATTGAACTGTGAAATACTGTTCACAATTCCGTCGACAGATGGTAGCATGGTATGATTGGGATTGCTTGAAGGTGGAGCTGGACCAGTCTGTTGGTTGACGAACATTTCCATTAATTTCATTTGTCGTTCAAACAATAATTCCAATTTAATAGGATCCATAGTAAATTGTTATGTTGTTGCTGCTGTGTGGTTAATAGTAGTTTTCCCCGTCGCCAAATTGTTATGTTCTAGTTTCCCCGTCGCCAAATTGTTATGTACTAGTTTCCCCGTCGCCAAATTGTTATGTACTCGTCGCTGAATTATTGTTATGGACTGGTCGAGAAACTAATAGTCCTGACGCGAGAAGGCGGAAATCAGAAGACCACTAGGTTTGCGATGATACTTCTATTGTCCAAACACAAGGAGACGAAAATAAATGGTCTCACACCAAAGTGATAAGTAAGTAAAGTAGTTGTAAAGTAAAGTAGTTCACACAAATTGTGAATGCGAATATATATGAATGTTCCAGACAAGCGTGGGAAAAATCATTAGACAGTCTTAACATGAATGGCTAATTATAATGGAGTGTCGATCCAATTATACATAGCGAATATAGCAGACATGCCAACAAACATATATGGATATATGTCACCAAGCAACGGACTGTCAACAAACACTCATATTATATATAATATAATATAAGGAGAATATACATTGATAAAGGAGACAAGTTCATACAAGTGAAGTGGTCACAGACTAACCGAGCAAACAGAAAGAGAGACCAACATGCACACACACACATAAATATATATATGTGGATACATATCACCTCCCCTTTTGAGAAGATCGATGATTAGTAGGATGTTTACCTGGGGGTTTATCTGGGACCTTTGGGCTTGTTGTTGACGCCTGTCGTTTCGTCTTCCTGTTGGGTTTGCAGCTTCGGCTCCGTCCGGAATTGTCTAGCATTTTATGCTTCCTGACTGTATTGCGTAGAGAATTTAGTGGGACATCAGCCAGATGCAAACGATCGAACCAATCAAATCCCAAAACATTTAAATCATTCTTCGTGACGTAACGAATTCCTGTGAATTTGGTATTGCGGAAGGAAACGGAACATTTGAGTTCACCAATTAGTTTGAGCCGCCCACCACAGGCGCTGACAAGAGACTGGGAAGTATTGGTGATAGGTGGTTTGCCAATATTATTCCAAAGTTTCTCTGATATAACAGTAGTATCAGAGGCGGTATCTAACTGCAGACGTGCATCATGACCATTCATTTGAAGGTCAATATATTTCCGCATATTTGGTGTTGTGACTTGACAGGTTGCGCGTAGACTCAATGATTTTTTGGGGAATTTAGGACCAACAGTTTGTCGAGCTTTCGCTGGATTTCGACATCTGGGTTTGCGTGGCTGACAAAAACCATTTTTGTGACCGATGATCTTGCACTTGCTGCAACGATGATTTTTGTATGGACAAGACTTTACAAAGTGCCACGCGCCACAGTGCCAGCATGGTGATGGAGGGGTCTTCTTTGTCGTATTTTGTGAAGTTGGACGAGTATCTGTAGATTTCCGCGGAACATTAGAAGAAGGTGGGTCAGGAGTAGATGATGAGAGATTTTTGCTCTTTCGTAATGCACGAATATCAGAGCTTCTCGGAGGTGTTGATTCGACCAGGTGTGTGTCTTTCTGCAGATTAATCAGCCGTTGATATTCATCAGCTATGTCATGTAATGTTAACTTGGGATTTTGTTCTAGCTGATTGAGCAGTCGAGTTCGGATATCTGTGAAACGAGGAGATTGGAGACTGCATATGAGAATCAAGGCTTTGAACTGATCATCTGTTAAGGACCTGAGTCGAAATCTCTCACATTCTCGGTTGACTGTGCCAACGTGAGTAAGAAAATCATCATTTTCATTCATTGCCAGCTTGAGGCAACGATAACGTATACTGAATAATGAGGAGTGGTCTCCGAAATGTTCACGCAGCAACTTTATTGTATCATCGAAACAATTGTCACGTGGTTTCTGTGGTAAAATTAGGTTGCAGTACCGTTCATATTCTGCCGGACCCAATTTACGTAGCAAAACTCGCACCTTCCAGGCATCGTCTTGTGAGGCGAGATCAACAGTGAATAAATCCTCATAACGTTGATACCATGTGTCAAAAGTGACATTAGCCTCTGGGTCATAATTGAACTGTGAAATACTGTTCACAATTCCGTCGACAGATGGTAGCATGGTATGATTGGGATTGCTTGAAGGTGGAGCTGGACCAGTCTGTTGGTTGACGAACATTTCCATTAATTTCATTTGTCGTTCAAACAATAATTCCAATTTAATAGGATCCATAGTAAATTGTTATGTTGTTGCTGCTGTGTGGTTAATAGTAGTTTTCCCCGTCGCCAAATTGTTATGTTCTAGTTTCCCCGTCGCCAATTGTTATGTTATTTCCCCGTCGACAAATTGTTATGTACTCGTCGCTAGGTTATTGTTATGGACTGGTCGAGAAACTAATAGTCCTGACGCGAGAAGGCGGAAATCAGAAGACCACTAGGTTTGCGATGATACTTCTATTGTCCAAACACAAGGAGACGAAAATAAATGGTCTCACACCAAAGTGGTAAGTAAGTAAAGTAGTTGTAAAGTAAAGTAGTTCACACAAATTGTGAATGCGAATATATATAAATAATTCAGACAAGCGTGGGAAAAATCATTAGACAGTCTTAACATGAATGGCTAATTATAATGGAGTGTCGATCCAATTATACATAGCGAATATAGCAGACATGTCAACAAACATATATGGATATATGTCACTAAGCAACGGACTGTCAACAAACACTCATATTATATATAATATAATATAAGGAGAATATACATTGATAAAGGAGACAAGTTCATACAAGTGAAGTGGTCACAGACTAACCGAGCAAACAGAAAGAGAGACCAACATGCACACACACACATAAATATATATATGTGGATACATATCACCTCCCCTTTTGAGAAAATGGATGATTAGTAGGATGTTTACCTGGGGGTTTATCTGGGACCTTTGGGCTTGTTGTTGACGCCTGTCGTTTCGTCTGATTGTTGGGTTTGCGGCTTCGGCTCCGTCCGGAATTGTCTAACATTTTATGCTTCTTGGCTGCATTGCATAGCGAATTTAGTGGGACATCAGCCAGATGCAAACGATCGAACCAATCAAGTCCCAAAACATTTAAATCATTCTTTGTGACGTTACAAATTCCTGTGAATTTGGTATTGCGGAAGGAAACAGAACATTTGAGTTCACCAATTAGTTTGAGCTGCCCACCACAGGCGCTGACAAGAGACTGGGAAGTATTGGTGATAGGTGGTCTGGCTATATAATTCCAAAGTTTCTCTGATATAACGGTAGTATCAGAGGCGGTATCTAACTGCAGACGTGCATCATGACCATTCATCTGAAGATCAAGATATTTTCGCATAGCTGGTGTTGTGACTTGACGGGTTGCGCGTAGACTCAATGACTTTTTGGGGGATTCAGGACCAACAGTTTGTCGAGCTTTCGCTGGATTTCGACATCTGGGTTTGCGTGGCTGACAAAAACCATTTTTGTGACCGATGATCTTGCACTTGCTGCAACGATGATTTTTGTATGGACAAGACTTTACAAAGTGCCACGCGCCACAGTGCCAGCATGGTGATGGAGGGGTCTTCTTTGTCGTATTTTGTGAAGTTGGACGAGTATCTGTAGATTTCCGCGGAACATTAGAAGAAGGTGGGTCAGTAGATGATGAGAGATTTTTGCTCTTTCGTAATGCACGAATATCAGAGCTTCTCGGAGGTGTTGATTCGACCAGGTGTGTGTCTTTCTGCAGATTAATCAGCCGTTGATATTCATCAGCTATGTCATGTAATGTTAACTTGGGATTTTGTTCTAGCTGATTGAGCAGTCGAGTTCGGATATCTGTGAAACGAGGAGATTGGAGACTGCATATGTCAATGGAGTTGAAGATTGAACGATCAATTCTTGGTTGTTTGCTCAAAATCAACTTCCTCGATTTTCGCGGAGGCATCAATACGACAGTCATCGTCTCATCGGTCGCTGTTCAGAAAGAAGAGTTAAACATCGTTAGAAGTAACATAACGATTTATTATTGTAATATTTGTTTACAGACCTTAGTTTTCTTAGTTTGCTTAGTGATACTTGATTTATATGCTGGTGTAACAATACATAATACTCAAGTCAACAATTGGTGTTTTGGGTTTTTCGTCCGTTATAACTAAGAAATCTTCAAGGAACAGCGTGGGCCCGAGCGTAGCGAGAGCTGGGCATTAACGGTTTATGAGACTTTGATGACAGTTTCTAACGATGGAAACAGATCTGGCGGATTGAAACAGTTGGTGAAAGTTTGGATAGTCGCCGTTCATCTTTCCTGGTGCCGGTCAAGTCCTCTTTGAACAAGCAATATCTGGAACTTTTTTGGAATTTGGTCAAGTTCAACAATGCCTGGGTCAAAGAAGGGACAGAGTGTCTTGGATGCAAACAGGAAAGTAAGTCATGGTGACTTGTCTGTTAATTGTAACGATGTGTCTGATGTTAAACATGATATGGTTGATGTTACTGTTTCGCCGTTCAGGGATAATAGGAACATCAAACTCCCTAAATTAGAACCACAGTGTTTTGATGGAAACCCGGCTGATTATTTACAATTTGTAAAGGAGTTTGAGATCATGCTGAATAGTTTTCTATTAAATGATGAATTGAAATTGATGTATTTGATGAGATATTGCACTGGAGATGCTGCAAGAGCTATACAGTGTTGTAAGTTTATGAAGCCAAAGGAGGGCTACGATGAGGCTATGAGCATATTACGCCAAAGGTTTGGAAGACCCTCGATGATTGCAGGGAAATTATTCGAGGCTGTTGAGGGTAATGGTGGTCAGTTAAAGGATGACTCCCAGGCACTCACTGAGTTTTTAGATAATTTGCTAATTTACAAGAATGGAATGATTTCGATGAATCGAATGAGTGACCTCAACTCGAGTTTTATACTAGAAGTAATAGCAAGACGTCTACCTACCCGACTGCAAAGGAAGTGGGTGAAGATAAGCTCCCGTATGGAGGATGAGGGTATCGAGCCAAAGTTTGATGATATCCTGAAACTGGTAAATACTAGTGTCAATCAATCTATGAGCAAGTTCGCCAGTCTGTTAGATCTCACCCATAGAATAGAGCAGTCTGAGGGGAAAACGTACTCATTGATGACGAATAAGCCTCAGAGAGGTGGATATCGAGAAGGCTCCATGATGTCTAGTAATGCATATAGATCTAGTGAGTGTAACAATTTTCGTAGTACATCCTCAACAGATAAGTTGCAAGATGCAAGACAAACACGGTTGTGTTGTACTCGTTTGCAAGAGGTGCATACAAAAGTGAACTGTGAACCAGTGAGCAAGTTCAGTGATAAGCTAAATGTAAACTCCAGGTCTGACTCCGAATTGTGTGACGATAACGGTGTTGTGAAGAAGTCTGTAGTTGCAACTGGTAAGCCGTTGTTGAATAGAGTGTCACAGAATAGAGTTACTGCTTCAGAGTGGAGTTCTGACTCCACAAGTTTACAAAGTATATCTAGTCAGAGTGAAGTTATAAAACCTTTAATGAATTTTGAGGAGGAACCAAAATCGTCTACTTCTGTTATTAAAGAGTTTGAAAATGATGAACTTGACGGTAAATTGAATATTTGTGGTGATGATCATGATAGTGCAGATTTGTCTTTGGTTGATCATTATGAGATGCGGGATATGCCTACTACTGCTAAGTTAAATAAAGGTTCTGTACAACTACAACGTGAAGTAGAATTGAACGCAGATGCAGTTCCAGAAGGTGTGCATACTTGTGAGACAGTCAGTGTAATTGATCAGCATGTAGCCCACCTATCATCAGATGATAGTGCTAAACCTGAACTAGTAGTGAAAGACAGCAGTGGTGGTAATCTTGCAGTTGGACAACTATCTGAGAGCCGAACAAGAACAGCTTCTGATCCACCACTAAGTTCATCACCTTGTGTCACTCAGTCATCGTTGGTGTTTTCATCCACAATGAAACAGATGCCCATCAACTCTAGTATCTTCTGCAATGACTATGGTAGTATCAGTTCGTTTGAAAGGACGAATATCAATGGTCAGTTTAGTGTGGATAAGCCAAGTGTAAAGGAGAGAGTTATTGTTAAATTGACTTGCATGAATAAAGGCATTTCTAGTTTCAAGTTATTATTTGAATGTTATTATCTTTGGTGTAAATTACTCTGTTTCTATACTTGGTTGATGAGATATGTCGTGTGTTTGTTGGTCATCTATATTCTACGATACAATGACATGGGCGTGTTGCCGTTCAGATTTGAGGATA